AACAATTCCTTATACATCATTTTTTATAAAAAAATGCTAAAAAAAAATTCCTTATAAAATATAAGAAAATGTGATACGAAATTTTAAAAAACGTATACAAAACTTATTTATAATAATGAAAAAACATATGCAAATTTTTTATAGGATATATACCTTTCTAAAATGAATATTTTAAAGGAAAATATCTTATTTTTACTATATAATATATTATTTATTGCATTCATAGCATTTAATTACTATTCTAATATTTTTTTACAAATTAAATAGTAGGGTTAAATACTATATAAATTCTTTTCTTATTTTATTATTAATTTAATAAAATAGTCTATGCTATTTTATTTAATTATATCATATATATAAAATTATTTATAATTAGTTTTTTAGCTATTAAAACTGAATTAGATAATGAATAAACTTAGAAAAATCAGCATAGCGAATATGCTTAATTTTATCATATTTTACCAATCAATTTACTGATCATTTATTCATTTTTATTATATATAAAAATACTTTGATCAGAAAACTTACATAATAATATATGTTAAATTTTTACAAGTAGTTGCATTTTAATATAATATTAAATTTTATCAAAATATTATTATTATTAGATAAGTTATACTAGAAGTAACATTTTATTAAAATTAATATAATTATAATAATATGTGATTTATATTTAAAATATTTAAAAAGTTGTTTCAAAGCTAACTTTTGTGTTGTTTAAAATTTTATTATAATACTTTTATATTTCATTCTATAAAACCTAAAATAGATAAAATAATAGTTAGTATAATTCACCTTTGCATATCCATCTTTGCTCAAAACTTTGAATCTAAATAATTAAAAATTTTAATAACATATGAATTATATATGAAATATTCAAAAAGTTATCTCAAAGCTAACTTTTATATTGTTTAAAATTTTATTATTATACTTTTATATTATTTTCTACATAACTTAAAATATGAAATTTAATGGTCAATATAGTTTACCCTTACATATGTAACTTTGCCCAAACCTTTAAAGTCTAAAATAATTAATTTATTATGTAAATTACCTAATTAATTATTTTAACCTTAAGCTAACTTATGTAATATGTTTAATTTTGATTTACTGTTTTAAAGTATATTGTATATAATCTAAAATATCAAATTTTTTGATTTATAAAGTTTGCCTATTATATGCTGTCTTACCTGAAGCTTTGAACTTTGAATTAGCTGATTTTATATAATATGATAACTCAATTATATATGATTAGCATAATGATTAATAAGATAATATAAGCATGTCTACTATGCTAAAAAAATCAAATTTATTGCTTTTTATTAACTTGTAAATATTACAATTTATTATTTCACATTTTTTTATTTAAAAAAAATAAATTTATGACTAACAAGAATAATTATAAAATTTTTATAATTTAGCCTAAATAAAATCAATTATTGTTTGACAATTATTTAGATAGTAAAATAAATATTTAATGTGATATGTTATAACAAAATCAGACAAAATAAATATTTGACTATATGATTTAAAATAGTTGATGTGATTAAAAGGCTTAAACATAATTCATAAATTATCATATATTATTATAACAAATATATTTAAAATTTAATCTTTTTTTAATTAAAACTAGTACAATATTTACTAAAATCATAATATTCTTAATTTAACATTAATTCTACTTAAAAAATATAAATATGAAATTAATTTATATAATGATGAATTTTTATGCATTGATTATCATTAGTCACATTCTGACAATTAGACTACATTATGCGTAATGATCTTCTCATCAAACTAAATGATGACAATTGAAGAAGTTAGTCAAGTATTGCAAAAGGAAAATAAGGAGTTAGATGAGATAAAGGCTATATTAAAAGCATTTAAAGAGGGCAAAAGCAAAGGAAAGCTACTGATAGAATTGAAGAGAAAGCTATTGAATAAGGATACAAAAATGAAAAAGAGAAGAAAGAATGGAAAGAGGTGAGAGACGAGCTTATGGTAAAAAAGAAGCGTCTGAAAAAAAATGTTCAGGAGTGTTGAAAAAAGGTAAATGTATAGGAAGAGAAACTCTGCACCTTTTCAATTAAGCTAGGGAATAACTTTGTGATTCAGATGTTAGAGACATAGAGTAGTATATTCATTATATAAAATAGACATAGTAATAGATTTTCTTCATATAAATTTATTAAAAGGTTACTACAACTATAGTTGACATATATAGTTATTGATGTTTAAAAACTTTAATTTTGTTTTACTTGTTCTAAATACTTATCTTTTTATTATAGAAAAGAAAACGTCAATTGAATAGTTACTTATTATTTAGTTTTCTCAGCTACTTACTAATCTACTAAATGAGAATTAGCTTGAAGTGTATTTTAAGCATCTATTTCTTCAAAAGATTCTTATACAGTACAAACTGTATCATGATATGACTACATCACCAGAATTAGTATTATTAAATCTTAGAGACTACTTTATTGATAAGAATGTTAGTGAAACTGGAAATACTGTTTTCTCTCTATGTGAAGCTACAATAATGCTTACAATAATAGGTAGTGAAAATAACTTAATTAATGAGTATGATGCTTTGATTAAATGAATATAACAAAGCCTTGGCCGAAGTTCTCAGTTTTGATTACAGGTTGATTGTAATATTGTGAATATATCTGATGCAATGCTAAAAATGCTTTGTCTAAATCTGATTACTTTATTGTATGATGTATCAATATTTAAAGCAGAAGAAATGAAGGATTCTAACGAGTTTGATAATGCTATAAAAGAACTAGAATCAAAGATAAAAATATAGAACCTATCTCTTTTTAGTGAATTACCTTACTTATCCAGTTATGCTACTACAAAGGAACAATTTCAATGGTGTATTATTAAAAGGGATTTAACAGCATATTCTATATCTTCCTAATATAATCTTTCTCTTCTGCTTCATCAAGTTTTGGTAAATTACATAAATTACATAGCAATCATTTTTTAATAATGAACTTCAATTTTACTAACATATTAACTATAATAATGATAGGTTTTTATCTCAGCTTTTAATATGTTTTGTCTTCTTATAACATTAGAAAAGCTGGTAACTATTACTTGTTATCATAATAATCTATAAGTCATGTTTCTTACTTTATTATATTGAAAAAAATTAAGAATTTTCATGAGTATGCTGCTGGAGAATTTACCAACTTTGATGTTCTCAAGTAATATTTATAATTCACTATAAACAACAAGTATACTATTATTTAAATGTTCAATAAAAATCACATTTATTAAAGAAATTATAAATATGAAAAAACTCGTATATAATGTTATCATGCAAATTATATTGTATATATTCATATAAAGATTGCAATCTGTAAACATAGACCATTTAACAAACTGTAATTCTATATGAGTATTATTTAAATATATGAATTTCTTATGAAATTATTATAAAATGGTTAATATAAATTCAATTTACTTTATTGATATATACATTATAAATGAAAACTTGAATATTATTAAGCTTATATAATGCCATATATTCAAATTATTTGAATTGAATCAGTCAACCTTCAACCTATATTAAAGCAACACATTTATAAACTAAATTATAAATCCTAGGACATTTAAATTTTAATGTTTATTCTCTAAGCTAATAATCTATATTTAACATGACCGTTACGATTATTTTAAAATCACAATCAATTCAAAAAATTTTATTACTGAATTTCTATAAAAGAAAGTTTTATATATTATTAATAAACAATGAAATAATAAGATATAGATAAATAAAATATATTTTAAAATAGAAATAAATACTTACAATAACCATGGATTTATTATGTAAAATATAACCATGAATTTTATTTAATACCTGAGATGCTTTTTTTCATCTGAAAATATTACGAATGTTTGTTCTCTCGTGTGTAATCAGATATTAATTTGACTTAAATATAAGTTTATCAAAACTCTAAAGTTTATAAAATAAAACTTATTTTAAAATAATCAAATACCTTTTAGAATGGAAATATCTCCTAAAGATATATACTAGATCTTCTTTTTTTATCTTTTTAACCAAATTCTTAATATATAAAGTTAAATTAGGTCATCCAAGTTTGTAATTTTTTATTGCTGATATCTTGTTTAATCCTTTAAATTTCTAAACATCAAAGTTAAAAACTAATAATTACATAAAAGCAAAGATAATAAGAAAATGATTCAATTATAATATCATCTTCTAGCATCTTATTACTATTAATTTCTTCTAATGTTATATAATTTAATAGTGATTCTGCTTGTTGAACTAGTAAATTTGCAGTTTCTTTTGATTTAGTTTCAGTTGAAAATGAATCAGTGTATACTTCAGATTTTAAAGTTAAAGGATATTGTACTAGCGATTCTAAAGTTGAAGATTGGTTAGAATATGCATCAGAAAATACTGGTAGTATAATTTTAGGTATTATTAGCTTAATAGAAGGCATTATATATGTAAAATTCATATAAGAAGCGACGGGGATATATGGTATGATTTACATAATTCCAGGAAGTATTACCAATACTCTAGATTTCTTCACAGTACCTATTTTTATTTGCTTTTCTTCAACTTCACTATTAATTTCAGCTTTATCATCTAATAATAATTCATCTCTTTTCTTATGTTTCTTATTAAGACTTTCTTCAGTATTAGTTTGTAACTATTATGTCAGAAAAATTTTTCAAATGAAATATAGTCGCCAATAGATTTCTTTAAAATATGTAAATAGATTAATTTTTTTTATTTTTTGAATAATAATTACTAAAGCTGGTATTAATTCTAGTAATATAGGTCCAAATGGTAATAGTAAATTCATTTTATTCATTAGATACAAAACTTAAGTATATAATTTAAGCACAGTTGCAATAGCATTCATGATATTATATAAATTTATACAGTTAAAGGAAAATAATGATAATGAAGTGAAGAAGATGCTGGATAATTAATACTATTAATAAATAATAAAATTAAAGTAATAGCTTTTATAATGGATGATAATAATATAACTGTTACCCTAATAAAGATGTAATTGGTTCAGCAATAAAACTTAGTAACTGAGAGTGACAGAAGTGTTTTAAATGATCTAGAAGCATCTTGCCTATTTTCATTAATATTATCACTAGAATTTCTTACTTTAAAATTACCCTTTTTTTTGCAAGTCTTTTTACTTGATAATGCATATTCTACTCAAACTTTTTATCCTACTATATCTTCTAATTCTTGTATCTTAAAAAATGTATTCGCTGCTGATAAATGATCTGGATAATTCAAGAATACCAAATTTTTCTATCATTAAATTAGAGCTGTTGTTAATGAATATGCAATATTTAATTTAAGATAAATTTTTATGATAGCATATAGGTATTATAGTGACTGATAAGTCAGTGACATTTCACTTTGATCATATGCACATTTTTAATATTTTACAAACTTTAGTTTTTCAACATATTGAACAGAATAGTTAATGTATTAATTGTCTCAAATAATCTTATAAACTGACTTGAGAACATCAAAGTTGGTAAATCCTTCAGCAGCATACTCATAAAAGTTCTTAATTTCTTTCAATATAACAAAGTGAAAAATGTAACATATAGATTATTATGAGAATAAATAAAGATTACTAGTTTCTTTATATCATAAAAAGACAAAATATATTAAAAGCTGAGATAAGAATCTGTTATTATTATAGTTAATGTATTAATAAATTGAAGTTATTATTAAAAAATAATGTTATGTAATTTATGTAACTTACCAAAACTTGATAATGAAGAAGAAAAAGATCATATTGAAAAGATATAGAATGTGCTATTAGATTTTTTCTAATAATACACTATTGAAATTATTTTTTTACAACAGCATAACTAAGTAAGTAAGATAATTCACCAAAAAGAGATGGGTCTCATATTTCTATCTTTAATTCTAATTCTTTTACAGTATTATCAAACTCATCAGAATCTTTTTTTCTGCTTAAATATCAATACATCATGTAGTAAGGCAATTAGATCTGGATGAAGCATTTTTAGTATTACACAAGATGTATTCACAATATTGCGATCAACTTATAACCAAAACTAAGGTCTTTGGCTAAGGTTTTGTCATATTCATTTAATTAAAGTATCATTTTTACTACCTGTTATTGTAAGCATTATTGCAGCTTCATATAGAAAAGAAACAGTATCTCCAATTTGACTAACGTCTTCATCAATAAAGTAGTTTCTAAGATTTAATAATACTTATTCTGGTGATGTAGCTATGTCATGATACAATTTATGCTGTGTAAGAATCTTTTGAAGAAATAGATGCTTAGTAAAGAAAAATTAGTATAAATTATTATAAAATATGAAAATTAGTATTAACAAATTATTCTGTCACTTTTACTTAGTTTCTACTAATTTATTAGTTATGTTTAACTTGATATTCATTAAACTATTTTTATTATTACCATTATTATTATCACTAATATATATGTCTCTTTTTCCTTTATTTTTTCTTATATAGCTTATTCTTATTAGATTTAATATTCTTACTTCCATTCAACTTTTAATTTTTTATTTTCTATACTGAATAAAATTAATTTTTATAAGTGTATCAAAAACTTCTTCATTTTTTTAAACTTATTAAAAATTTTTACATTTCTTTTTTTAAGTCTCATATTTTTAACATATAAATTAGCTATTACTGTATATGGGTTGATTTCTAGAAAAATCAGATTCTGGGAATTTTTTAATAAAATTGAGATTTTTATTGCATTTTAGTTTTTAATGTTATTAGATTAAAATGTATTAAGCTCTTAATTTAAGTAAAAAATTTCTCAGAACTTGATTTTCCTAGAAACCCTCCCATATGACATGAAAAAATTAAATACGAAGAAATGGATGCCGAAATACTTGAATATGAAGAAATGTTAGAATATGAAGTCAACGATAACTATGATAAAGAGATTCAATATGATGACATAAATTTAATGGATCTGAATTTAGATTTTATACTAAATTCATTAGAAATGAATTTGATTCGACCTAAAGATTTAGACGAAACTGGTGAATGCTTTCAATTGGTAAATTAAATTAGTTTTTGTTATTTTTATCACAAGCTAAAATATTTATATTATATTAGTAACAAAAAACTGAAAAGAAAAAGAGTCAAAAAGACATAGAAAAAGACGAGAAATATCATGAATAGAACTCCTATAACAAACTTCTACTCTTCAATCCGCATTCCAATCATTACACTATCACAAGTTTCAAGTCAAATATCATACCAATCACATACATTATTTTCTCATATATTTATTTTTAATTTTATATTTGGTTTACATTTTTTTTAGTCAGTTAGTTTATATTGTTAAATGAGTGTTTTTTAAATTTTATTTTATTATTATATAAGGTATTAAATATTTTTTTTGTTGTTATTTTATATTGACATTATAATAATATATTATATATATATATATCAAAGTGACGCTTTAATTTATAAACTGAATGTTATTGATAAATAAGTTGAATATATATCTTTTTAAAGTCGAATTTGCTACTTTTAAAAGTTGTATAAATATGTAATAATATCCTAATTTATGTAAAATAATGGTCGAATTTTCTTTCTGAATATAGACTGATTGGTATTCTAAATGCGTCAAAGAATTCAGCCTAAATATAATGTAGGTTAAATCATATATTCGACCTAGTCAATTTTGGCTGAATTGTCCTATTTTGACTAGTATAATCAAGAAATATAAGGCAGATGACAAAGAAAGTCTGGAATGAAAAGAATATATAGAAACTGTTTTTGAGAAAAAGAAATATATAAAGCTAGAATGACTAAAGAGTATTTTAAGGAGATTTTAAATATAATAGATAATGATAGATTTTTTATAAGAGTAAAATTTGTTAGAGACAATTCTTCCTATAAAAGATATAACTATATATTTAAAATTATTAATAAATACCAGCCTATTCAAAATCAAAGAGAGCTGGTAAAAAATTCATTTCAGAAGGTTCTAATGTTGTTCTTACTAAGAAAACAAAGCCAAGCTTTTAGGTAGGAATTGATGAAAAGTTTTTAGCTAGAGAAGTTTTTATAAAATCTAATATAAATAATCTTACAGCTAATACAATCATCAATAGACTATATAAAATCTGAGAACTAGATAGTAAATAATTAATACTAATGAAAGATGGTACACTTAATTGTATAGCTCAGCGAATAATAGAGCACTTTGAAAAAGCAAAAAGATGATATGGATTGATTAGTATATATAAGAAAAAAATTGATACATGGTAAAAAAGAATGTGCCAATCTGGTACTTGAGTAAAAGATATAGTAGAATTAAAAAAAATACTTAAGAGACTGATTAAATTACTTGACATTACTCATAATACTATCTTTAATAGCGGAAAATATCAAACAGGTAAGTTTAAAGAGATACTGTAGAAATAGTAGTCCATAATGGCTATGCATTCCCTAGAAACCATCATTTTCTAAGAGATTGTATGGTAGAATATTATAATTATAATGCATTGTTAACATTACTCTTTTCATCAAATAAGTTAACTATGATTTGAAATCAGGAAGGCAATAGCTATGACTTAAATCTAATCAACTTGACATGCTGTTTATTAGAATTTATTTAGTTAACAAGAAATAAATTATAAGTTTTATGTTTGCAAAATATTAAAAGTATTTATTATTGTTATTAAATGTATTTTAAATACAATGTTAAGAACTTGTTAGAATCTGTCTTTTTTCCAAGGCATTTTCATATTCTTTATATAGGAAATTACAATTAAGAAAATCTATGGTATTTATGATACTACTGACAATAATAACAGAGCTAACAGAT